CAAATACACATACACACTCTACATACATACATACATACATACTCACTGCACATACACAGAGCGCACACACACACACATACACACACACACACACACAGACAAACCATGTAACACAACTACACTACACCCACACTACTCGATCAAACTGCACATGGTATTTTTTAGAACAGTGTCTTGATGTATTCATAAAGACTATGCTCTTAAGTACTACTTATCTTCAGGCTATAAATCGACAGTCCATAGTGATCCCACAGTCCTGGCTGTTTGCTTTGCTATGGCTAACGGCCACATGAGAGTTGCACATGTAGAAACTATAGATAGGCTTTACAGTGCAACAGTCACCTGCATAACTGATCCCCTACAAAAGTATGTTTCATCCAGAGGTAAGCTGAACCTCTGGTAGCCTTCTTTACTGTCCTGGGAGTCACCAGGGTAAGAGTACAGCCATTTCTTCCCCTCCCTCCGCCTTTAATCTCAGCTCTGCTTTCTCTGCTTACTTTCTAAAATTACAAAAAAAAAATTCAATATAGAGATAGTCATAGAGAGAAATAAAATAAGTACTTGTTTACCTACCATCGAGAATTTCAAAGTGGTAACACTCTTCTCTGTTTACTTCATAGTAGAATACATGAAATTTTAATAATGTTTCACCTACACACCACAAAATCAATTGAGTTATGTCCCAGCTATGATAAATCACAAGAGACTAGATTATTGTGTAAATACTTCTTCCTGTCAAGATTATGAAGTTCTATTTTCACTGTGGTAAGTAGTCCTTTCAGCACATGAATATGTGCACTGAACTTATTTCTATCTGGGATCATAAATGGAAACAAAAAATGATTTAAGCAAGCTGACTGCTGTCCAGCTGGCAGAACAAACACCATAGTCTGAGTAAACTTGGTTTTACTGTAGGAAGAAATACTTAGTGTATATGCTAGGTAAGAAGATCTGTATATGCCTTTCTGGAAGTCAGATGAGGGCAGCAGAGAACAGCCCGTATCAACATCTGTTGGGCCTAATAGTATAAGACACATTCCACTAAATTCAGACAAATCAGTCATCACTGCTTGGTTGGAGATGTCTCTCTTCAATGCATTAGGTTTCCAAGCCCACACCTTAAGTCCTTAATAACAAAAATGTAGATACCTCTAAGGCAAACTTAATGAATGTCCCCTTGGAACTGAGACACAGTGTCGTAGTAGGTATAATTATGCAGATTGGTGAGGTTCCCTAAAGAGAGAGGAACTGGTTCAGCAGTGGAAGCTTCCAGGAGGAACATTTTTTTTTTTTTTTTAGTGTACTTATTTAAGGCATGAACCATCACCAACTCTAGTTAGCATAAGTATCATTTTCTTTGTCTATTCTTCAGTTAATTCTTATAAAAATCAATGTTACTCCTTTCAAAAGCAAACAAAACATATAATGAACATTTAGTTGTTAAACATATAGGGACTGAGGGCAAGGATCATCTACCTACAATGGTACAAGGCTCTGAGTTTGAGCCATAGAACAGCAACTAGATAAATGAATTGATTAATTAATTAAGAAAACAGAAATTAAACAAAAGGAAGAAAGTGATGTTACTATCTATGTAAGATGCTCGTTGCTCTAGGTGAGTACGGAAGCCAGTCAGTCCTGCCTTGCTTGCTGCTAAGGCAGCAAAGGGAGACCTGTATAGTATAGCTCTTACTTTTCCAACAAAGAAACATGCAAGGTGGATTTCTTTCCCTTGGCTTTAATTTCAAGGAGAAAAAAATTATGGAATCTCTTTCATAAGGGACACCTAACAATGTCTTCAACTCTATTCGGTAAAAGACAGAAAATTTTTTTCATATAAATGTCTTCAACTATATGGAGAAAAGACGCACATTTTTCCTTCCACGTGCTGCAGGCACAATATTAAATCTTACTTGAGTGATGGCGTTTCTGCTAGAAGCTGATATAATACAGCCAAGGTGCTTTGTTTCCTGATGATTTACCTTCACAGAGGAAGCCTGGAGAGTGCAAAGGACAGCCTGTCCCAACCTCTCTTCCTGGGGCACCAGAAATGTATTTATCAAGTGCTGCATGGAGACACTGCAGGACTGTGGTCCCTGACAGGTATCTGAGGTGGTCCTGATTGCCTAAGTAGGACCACAGTTGCTTCATCTGCGTGAGACATCTGTGGGGAACAGGTGGCTTCTGTGTGTGCTTCTAGGAAAGTGTGAGGCTATTTCCCTGTCGATGTATTTCAAGGTCGTGCTTATAAGCAAATGTATTTGCAGTCCAGAGTGTATGACTCATGAGCAACGGCATCATGAACTTTTTGCACAGACAGATAACCAAAACCTAAGGATCATATGTTGGAAAATACCTAAGTTTCCAACGGGTATCCTGCATGTCTGATGAAAACCTGGACAATGTCCTCAGCTGAATTCCTAAACCTCCTACATCCAGAAGAGAAGAGAGGAGAGGTGATTCTCTACAAATTTTAACTAGAGCTACCATGCATGTTTGCCAGGCCTCTAATCCTAGCACTAGGGAGATTAAGAAGGATCATGAGTTTTAGGTCAGCCTGAACTACATAATGAGACCTTCCTCCAAACAGGAACAACAACAACAACAAGAATGTATGTATCCCAGAGAATTTTAATAAAGCCACAAGAGTATATGAAATGAATGGATAATAAATTCTTTCAAATTTAGCCAGCCAGAGGAACAAGAAATCTGCATTAACTTTCTTATTCCAATAAATTCACTAGTATCTTATGTTCTTAAAAAAATTAAAGGGGTTTGATTTTTTGATTAGTATGACACAAAAACAGCCAGTACCATATTTTAAAGCAATAATATATATGATTTTTAAAAACGTGTTGAAAAATCTTGAGCAGCATCTCTCATGTGTGTAACTGTGATGAGTCCAAGCTTCAAGAACGAGGGGTGATGTACTCTGACATAAGGATCACTAATGAAGGTAAGTCCAACAATTCCTTTCACAGTGCACCTATGAGTTCATCACTAGTACTTTTTTATTATTAGCTTAGATTTCTTGACCTACTGACTCAAGGAAAGAGGTCAGATGAAGTGTGCAAGAGTTCTCACTGCACATACACTGTTTGTCTAGTTACATTACATTTCTATCTGTGCACTTTCAAGAAGGCACTAAAGACCAGTGCCCTGGGACTTGGCAGGGAAGGGGTTTCCACAGCACAGCCACGAGGACCCCTTCACAAGTGGTTAATGCAATGGCAGAGGTCCTCTCTCTCTCTCTCTCTCTCTCTCTCTCTCTCTCTCTCTCTCTCTC